TTAATTCACACATCGAAGATTGAAAATTTGGGAAAATTAGATTTATTGGATATTCGAGACCCTGTTCAAACAAAATGCAGAAAGGAAATGGAAATTGCCGCATTGAATCATTTTAAAGAAATTGTTATTCTTTAAAGATGGAAGATATGAGGTTCAGTTGCCTTGGGTAACAGAAAAGGACTGTTTAAGTCAAATTTTCGATATTGCTAGACAGCGTTTAAACAGTACAACACACCGGTTGATAGAAAAGGGAAAATCGAGGATTACGAAAATGTTTTCACAGATTGGTTAAATGAAGGAATTATAGAAGAACACGAACACGAAGTCCCTGAACACGAAATGAATAATCAGTGTCACTATTTACCACATAAAGGAATATTCAAAGAAACTTCGACCACGAAATTGCGATTTTGACGCTTGCTGTAAAGACAAAAATTCGCGCTCACTTAATGATTGCCTAGAAAAGGGTCCAAATTTGCTGGAACAAATTATTCCTATAATTTTAAGATTTCGTAAGAATAGAATAGGAGTTATTTCAGACATAAGAAAGGCTTTTTTGCAAATGTCAGTAAATAAGTGTGATCGAGATTTCTTACGATTTTTATGGTGGAAAGATGTTGACAAGGAGGAACTTAGAGTTTTTAGACATAAACGCGTTGTTTTTGGATTGAATTGCAGTTCTTTTTTATTGGCTACTGTATTAAGCCGCCACATTGATCTAAATTCGTCTAAATATGCTGAAACAGCGGAAAATTTTAAAATCATTCTACGTAGATAATTGCATTACATCTGTTCCTGAAGAAGAGACACTTACGCGATTCATCGAGGAATCGAAACGTATATTAGATTCTGCGTCATTCGATATCTGAGAGGGTGGGAGCACAATTCTCATTTGAAATCTGAATACAGTATAGAACCTACTCCTGTATTGGGAATTTTATGGGATAAGGAAGATGATAGCCTTTTCTGTGAGGTGAAGACTGCTACTTACAAACCAGTGAATCTTACTAGAAGAAATATATTGTCTGCGGTACATCGCATTTTCGGCCCCATGGGTTTCTCTGCCCTATAACGCTAACACCTAAACTACTCATACAAAAGACATGGTTGTTAAAAATTGGTTGGGATACAAATATGCCCGAAGACTTAGGGAAAGAGTTCTATTCGTGGATTGATGATTTGTCACTTTTATTCAGTATTAGAGTTCCAAGAGCTTTAGATATAAATGGAAATGAAAGTCTTAGTCTTCATACGTTCTGTGACGCAAGTAAACAAGCCTATGGATGTGTGATTTATATAAGAAAAGAAACAAGGGAAAATGTATCGGTGTATTTTCTTCTAGCTAAACGTAGAGTGAGTCCATTAAGAAAAATGACCATAAATCGTCTAGAATTATTATCCTGCTGTATAGGAGTCAGACTCGCAGCTCTTGCTTTACAAACACTCAAATTAGACAACGTTCCAAGGAACTATTGGACAGATTCGAGTACTGCTCTTTCTTGGATCCAAAGAGATGACCATTGGGCGCCATTCGTCGCAAATATAGTAAAAGAGATAAGAAAAATGTCATCGGAATCTGAATGGCTTCACATTCCAGGGAATTCGAATCCAGCAGATATACCATCTCGAGGGTGTTCGATTAAGAGTTTTGTGAAATCTCGCTGGTGGCAAGCACCAGAATGGCTTATGAAGAACGAGGAAGAGTGGCCACCTAGTGAAGGGATTACTAACGAAGAAGAAATTATGAAAGAAAAGCGAAAGAACATTATTTCTACTTTGGCTAATATCACCCCTGAAAAATGGTATCTGATTTACTTTTCAAGTTACTTTAAAATTGTGAGAATGATTTCTTGGATTCTAAGATTCATAAATAATTGTAGACATGGAGGAAGAAATTATGGCAAAACCCTGAGTGTTGGAGAATTGGACATTGCTGAGAAGAAATTAGTGAAGATCGTTCAACAAAAAGCATTCTCTAGGGAAGAACCGTTGAGAGAACATTTTACTTTCAGAGATGAAGAAGGGATTATAAGATTGAAAACGAAGATTTTGAGAAGACATGATAATGAAAACATCCGGTGCCCCATTGTACTTCCAGCCAAACATGAATTAGTAGAAAGAATGATACAAAACTACCATTTACAACTTTTACATGCTGGTACTCAAGTTCGTTTGACCAATATTCGTCAAAAATAATAAAAGGAATAAAAGTCAAAGATAATAAAAGGAAGAAAAACAGTACAAGGACTCATATCGAAGTGCGTTCGGTGCAAGAGACACTCGGCGAAAGCTCTTGATACAGTGCCTTGCCCTCTCCCAGAAGATCAAGTCAGAGATGCTTATGCATTTGAGGTGACAAGTGTTGATGTAGCAGGACCACTTTATTTAAAGGAAAATAGAAATGCTTGGATCTTGCTTTTTACTTGTGGAGTTTATCGTGCGGTTCATTTAGAATTACTAGAAAGCTTATCGACTAATGGATTTTTTCTTGGATTTAGAAGATTCATAGCACGAAGAGGACGGTCTAGAGTAGTATACAACGATAATGGCACAAATTTTGTAGGGGCAAGGAATTTGTTCCGATCTGTTGACTGGAACCAAATTATCAGAAGTTCTTCGATAATGAAAATTCAGTGGAAGTTAAATCCACCAACCGCAGCATGATGGGGCGGTTGGTGGAGAGACTGGTTCAGATGATCAAGAAATTATTGAGAAGAGTCCTGTAAGGCACTACTTTCATATGAAGAAATGTTAACTATCGTATGTGATGCAGAAGCAAATACCAACTCCAGACCATTAACATTACGAGTCAGAAGATTCCACCGATTTATGTGCACTCACTCTATCTATGTTTATTCAGGATATGCGAACTGAAGGTTTTCCGGATCTGGACAGTTTGGATAAAATCAACTTATCGAAAAGACGGCGATACCACCAAAAGTTACGTGTGGAATTTCGTAAAATATTTAGAGATGAATATCTTTGTCTGTTAATACATCGACCAAAGCCTGTACCTTCGCGAACCATCAAGAAAGGTGATTTACTGTTTGTAGAGTACGATAAAATGAAAAGAACAGACTGGCCTATGGGTCGTGTGATCGAAACATACCCAGGAAAAGACAACATCAGAGTGGTGAAAGTAAAAACATCTAGTGGTGAACTGTTAAGACCAGTTCAAAGAGTATTTCCAATGGAGATAGACAATAAATAATCTATCTTCGAGCTTAAAATTACTGAATCATCCACATCTCCGAGAAATACTGGTAAAAGAAATGATTTAGTAATTGATACCAAAGACTGTGAACTTGAAAATTCTGATAAAAACATTCAGTTTAGTAGATATGGCAGAAAAATTGTGAAACCAAAGAACTTTAATTAGTTTAATTTTATTTTCAGTACCACTATTATTTGTTTTCTTTATTCCGTTCTTTGAATTTAAATTTTGCATACAATTTGATTTTCCAGTTTAGTGAATTAATCTCTTTACTAGTATTTTTCAGAAAAGAATTTTTTGCCTGTTGGTTAAAGAATGTAAGTTTGCAGAATATTAAGTAAGTTTAAAATAGTCAAGATATTTGTTACGCCTAGATAAAATTGTTGATTTTGGTAAGATTTAAATTACTCATCTTTTATTCGTATTTCATTTTCATTTCACAATTGTTTTGATTTTTTCATACTTTGTCAAAAATCAAAAGGTGGGAGAAATGTTACAACTCGAACGCGAAATGAGCGAAAGTTTCTCCTCTGCCAGTGGCAACGAGGAGTCGAAAAACGAACTTGGAAGAGAGCAGTCGCGCACTCGGTTTCTCTTGATAGAATTTGATACGAAGGGGGAGATAATCCCCATCTTTTGATTTGAAATTAATCTCGAATTATGTATATATTGTAATATAAAAGATGTGTGTAAATAAAAGTCATTAATACTTAACTGAAGTAGTGATTTGAATCAAATATACAAATCGAAAGCTCTCCCAAGTAGAACTATGGATTATAGAAATAAGAACAATCATAAAAACAAGTGCCATTGGGACTTCATGAAATATGGTCGAAGAGGTAGCACTTACCTTTACAAGGGATTTCACATTAAAAGCACTCTTAATATTCTTCACAAAACTTTTTTAAGTTTTACCTTTTTTTACCCTTAGATGTTTTTTACCCTTACATGCAATCCGTCTCTTGGTTCAGATGCAATCCGTCTCTTGACAAACAAGTACTGAAATAGTAGTCACCAAATCTACAAAAAAAAAAAAAAAAAAAAAAAAAAAAGAAAGAAAGAAAATGCTTCTCAGCCTTTGAATGCTTCGAAAAGATTAGTGCTTATCCGAGTTAATTTTCTGTTAAGCTTCTTTAAACTGTACGGGTTGAAACCATTCTCGAATAAATTTCGTTCCCGCGGGAACGTATCTTAAAAGAGAATGATTTTCGGGTTTAAGCGCTGAATAACCTTATGCAGACATTCATATTTATGATGAATATCATCCAAGGCGTCACAAGAGTTATTGGTACCAACATGAACCAAAACTAACTGAAATTGATTGTCTATCAAGGTTATCTTGCGTGTCAACCTTTCAATCGTAGCACCTGGGAATCAATGAAAATGCTTATCCAGAAATTCAAATAAATATTCATTTAAATATTTTATCATCGAATCGCCGATTATAAGTATCTTCGAATCGCCGATTATAAGTATCTTCATTTTTCCTGTTTGCTTAGACAAAGACATAAAAATAATACAAATAACAAAATCAAATTAAGAATTAAGCACGTGCTAATAAAAACACTCACCGACGAAAATGGCGGAATACGATTTGTATTTTTAACTACATTTACGTATTTGGCGCCAGTGTCCAGTTTGGGGTGAAAATGATAACCCTCCAACCAATCACAGCAAAGTACACTTTCCCGACACATTTGGCGTTTGTCTGTACATAATTGTGTAAACTCCGCGACCGGGGTACGCCGTCTTGCCAGGTGAAACTAGTCGATATTTTGGTGACGTCAAAAATTCGAAAAGTGGGGTAGGGTTTGGAAATACGCGTCACAGCAGGAGGGTACGGCGAGTACGTTTTAGGAACGTGCAACAGGCCCCACAATATTTTACAGTTAGCTTGATTTTTTTTTTTTACCTTCGAGCACAAAGACATACGAAATAAGACACACGTGTCTGTGTTTCTGTTTGCGCAAAATAATAAAAAGAATATTCTAATAAGTAAGTAATAATGTTTTGATTGAAATGCGATTTGAAGTGCCGAAGTTAAGAAGCAGGACCATTGTCAATAGTAGAAATATTACCTGCATTTTATTTGAATGTAAATTCTAAAGTTCTGCTTTTAACCTGGTGAATATCGGATCTGTCATGGATGTGAAAGGTAAACAGGCGAATGCAGTGGAATGTGTTAAGACTGAATTCGTATGCTTGAGATTTTTGATTAAACTGAAATTGTCAGAAAACAGTGCATTAAGCATAACGGGAAATGTTAACGCATTAAGCATAACGGGAAATTTCCCGTTATGCTTAATGCACTGTTTTCTGTGCTAACTTGAATTTAATACAAATTTATTTCGTATATCACGTTTAACCTGTTAGTTTTACATCTACACACTTATTATCTGTGAATTTTTACTACCATTGTCTGCTAACTTGAATTTACATACTCTAAAAACCACGTTTACGGCTCGGCTCATCGGAGCTTGGCGAGTAAAAATGCAACGGCGCCAACGGGTTCTCTGCGGATGAAAACCCGAAAGGGGAAAATAAATTATCCTTTACTGTACTAAACGTTTATGATCTCTTAGTTACAGTGTCTCACAAAAGTGTTCGTACACTTTGCGGAAAAGCGCTGTAACATGGAATTTAATTCGAATATGAAGCCCAATATTTTTTCATATTATTTACATGTGATTTTGAATAAAACCAAACTTTTTAATTTGTAATAATGACTTATTTTCTTTTTCTAAAATTGAAAATATAAGAAGGCACAGATAAAACATTTCATAAAAGTGATTGTACACCGAAACATTTTCATTTAATATTTAAAAATGCTTCGTAGTCATAAGCAGAGGCGTAGCTAGGGTTTTCAGTGTCCGTAGGGTAACTGAAGAATTTCCACCCCTCTATGTGTGCCAAGAATGGAAAACGTTTCAATTTAAAATTTCGTAACATCAATTTTGCGCCACTCCCTCCTTGCCCCACCCTAGCTACGCCACTGGTCATAAGGAAATAGCAAACATCATTCAAAAATTGATCATTTTTCTATCATAACGATGGAAATTCGATTCTGGATATCGCTAAAGTAGTAAATTTATCCTCATGTACTGTGCAGTATGTGATAAAATGCTCTAAAAAAGAAAATCCAATTCAAAATAAAAGAAGAGGTTGTCTGGCAAAGAGGATTTGATGTGACTCAATGTGATCAGAGATTTAGTGTTAGAAAATCTGTGAAAAATCCACATTTAAGAGTTGTAAAGATTTCAACAGAATATACTGAAAAATGTTCTACTTCAATTTCATTTAAAACTGTTTGACGAGTTTTCAGATCAGCTGGATTACATGGGCACTTTGCTCGAAGGAAATTTTTGGAAGTGCAAAAAATAGAAAGCTTAAGCCTTTCTCCTCAAAATCAATGCTAAATAAGCTTGAAGCATATTGGAATCGTATTTTATTTGCAGATGAAAGCAGATTCACATTTTTGGTCCCTATGGGCACATAATTGTATGGAGGGGGAAAAAAAATGAGCTTAATCCCAAGATCTTGGTTATGAATAATAAAGAATAAAGAATGGCGAAATGAGAAAATAATAAAGAATGGCGGTGGAGGTGTTCCAGTGTGAGTGTGCATATCAGCACCAGGATTAAATAATTTAGTATTTATTGATAACACAATGAACCATGATCTTTATTTAAATATTTTGAAAGATAATTCAAAATTATCCACCCAAAATTTAGGTACTATAATCAACTTTATTTTTTATCAGGGTAATGATGTCAAGCACACGGCCCTCAATGTTCGCCTTTTATTTTGGGTGTCTATAATCCACAAGCTCTTAAAACACCAGCTCAGTAACCACATATAAACCCAACAAAACACATTTGGAGTGAATTAGAGGTTGGAGTACGAAGACACAACATTAAAACAAAAACCGAACTAAAAATGGTAATGATGGAAGAATGGAGAAACATTGATGCAGATATTACAAAAAAAAAAAAAAAAAAAAAAAAAAGGTGTTAACTATATGCCTAGATGTTTGAAAGCTGTCATAAATACTGCAGGATATACTACAAAATACTAAGTGACAGAAATACTACAATATTTACTAATATATGCAGATTTTTTTAAAGCATACGAAGACTTTTGTGAGGTAACTTTTCTGTTACTTTATTAGTATTGATTTCCCCCCTCCAAAAAAAAGTTTTAATATGTTCATAAAATAATTTATGTAGTTTTGTTAAGAGAAAGTTATAAATATTATTAAAAAATTCCATTTCAAAAGCAATATTTTTCAAAAGCAATTTCCAAAAGCAATATTTCACTGAAACTTGAAAGTGTCTGAATACTTTTGTGAGCCACTGTATATAAAATTATGTATAAATCGTGTTTCCCAGGTTTAAATAGATAGCCCTTGGGGAGTTTGCCATATTCTAATAAAGTGAAAACCCAAGTTTTAATATCTTAGAATGATGGGGCACACCAGTTGGTGTTTTATGTTAAATGGTAGCATTTTCAGCAAAATGGGCAAGAATTGATCATTACTTTAAATTATCGTAACTATAAAATTAAGTGAAATGGCAAGATTTAAGGATATATGTAGAAAGGTTTTGATTGCTGTTTTCCAAGGAAGATTTTAAAATATATAAAGAAAGGTTTTGATTGCTATTTTCCAAGGAAGATTTAAGAATATATAAAGAAAGGTTTTGATTGCTATTTTGCCTTTGTAAGATTTTTACATTTTGAATTATTTATTTGAAATTTTGATATAAAACCTTTAATAATTTGCCTTTATGTGATATCAAAGGAAGCACTCGAGATATAAAGAACTCTTCTGAAAAGGAAGCTAAATTTTATTTAGTTGGATGATAAGATTTGAAGTGTGGTGGAAGGCAAATGGATGTAGTTTTATCATTTACAGTAGTGTTGAAATTGCATATACAGTCAAAAGTCGTTAATTCGGACATCCATAATCCGGAATGATCTATAATCCGGACCTCAAAGCTACAAACTTTCTGCGCATGCTTCGCGTTCACGCATGCGCACAGGCGTTTACAAGAGCGCGTAAGACCCTTACGGCTGCGAATATGTTTGTGCGCATGCGCGTTTAATGTTTAACGGAGTTATCTAATTCAGTTAATGTTGCAGATTGCATTGTTCCTTAATCTTCGAATTGGATCCGGCTTATTATTTTTTGCAGACTGTTAGAGCAATTTTATAAAGTAAGCTTGAACTTTCGATTATGTCAAATAGAATTTCCAATATATATTTACTACAAAGCGAAAGTATGTTTTGAAATCCGAAATCTGTTTATCAATTTCACGCTGCTCTGCGGCAGAGGTGGGGGCAGAAACGTCATTATTATATTATGATAGATTAGAAAGATTATGTCAAATAGAATTTCCGATATATATTTACTAATATGTAATTTGTATCTACAAAGCGAAAGTATGTTTTGAAATCCGAAATCTGTTTATGAATTTCACGCTGTGGATTGGAAGTTGATCTGTCAACACTATCCTTATCTTCAGAGCAGATGTTTTTATTTTATTTGGATTATAATTCGGTACTAAGTTTAGTATTTTGTCTCGATGTACTCTGTCTTTGATATGATTTAAATCAAGTTCCTCGTCATTATAATTCGCTTCGGATAGTGAAGAAAGTGACCCAGAGGTTATTGAAAACGAAAACATTTCGATTGACAAATTAGTTGGTATTCTCAACACAGCAATTATAGGACTTGAACAGCGGAACTTTGTAACTAAACAAGAAATTATGTCTGTTTAATAGAATTAAAGAGGAAGTATTATTACATGAAACGAAGCAACTTACATTGAAGGAAATGTTTAATAAAGTAAACAAATAAATATTAAGCTTTTTCTTTTTGTAAATTTTGATACCCTTTAGATCATAATTGTTCTCTATTTCATAAATTACGGTTTCATATTTTTAATTTTGTAATTTTTGCATGCCATCTTACCAGATTTAAACTGATGATCTATAATCCGGAAAAATCGATAATCCGGAATCGCCGAAGTCCCGACGAGTCCGGATTAACGACTTTTGACTGTATTTCATGTGACCAAAATGTTCATTTTTTTTTTTTTCATGGAACTTTCTTGAATTTTCTGGTCTATTATCCTCATCGGTATCGCATGAGCACAGGCTTCTTTGTTATTTCATTTCTAAAGAAGGAGGTTCTATATTCAGACCTTTGAAACAAATACTGCAAATTCTTGGAAGTTACCTCTAATTCTTGTTGCTCTAACACCTGCAGTAAACACTGAAAACTGTCCATTTATTGTGAGAAATATTTTTCAAGATGCCGTGGAGATGATTCAAAACTGGTTGATTATTTTAAAACACTTTTAAGGTTTAAGTTTCTGACTTTAATTTGATAGCTTTTTGAACATTTTGGTATGTTTTAAAATTTTTATTTTTATGTGTTCTATTTATTTTAAAGTTTTATGTGTTTTTAAATTTTCCATGTTTTTAATTCTTTCTGTGGTAAAACTGGATATTACGGTCCAGTTTTGCACATTTTAATAAAATTGCCAAGTCCAGGTTACGGTATCTGGAAAACCGGAAAAAATCAGGGAATTCGAAAATTGACCAAAAAAGTCAGGGAATTTAAATATTTTAGTCAAAATCTGGAAAAGTCAAGGAATGTCATACGGCGATCACCCAAAAAGCGAGTTTTGCGCCAATGTTGGAAGCGATGACTTTGTTGGCGAATTATGTATCGTATGAGCGTCATTCGGGCAGCTGGCGTAGAGCCAATTTTCGCAGCTTCAATCAGATTTTCTTTTAGAAAGGCAAAGCAAGTTTCCGCCAATTTTTGTTTCCAGTAACCTCAAAAACAGGGGTGGCCCAAGAGCGATGCGTAGTGCAGGGAGAAAATTATGCCACATGTGCATGACGCCATGTGGGTGACAGTCGCTAGTTCTTGGTGTTTGTTTACATTAGCTGCATCAACAGTTTGCTTTGATTTGTGTTTTTAATTTGCTATTATATCTAGTCGGAAGTGGCAAATTGTGCTCTAGCGTTGTGTCAGAATTATGCACGCCAATATTTTTTTTTGGCGGAAAACACTTTACAACCACTATTAAAATAACTGACTATTTTTTTAATGAATTTATGTAGTTTTCATATATAACTGTGATG